TTTTTATTTTTTTGCCTGAGGCTTTTAGGAATGTTTATCTATCAATGTGATTTACTGTGGCAGTGTTGAGTCACAGGGTATCAGTTCCAAATCCTGAGGTCCTGGAGACTGAGATAAGCCACATGGGTAGCTGAGCATGTCTATTTGATGAGCTCCAATAAAAACTCTAGACACCAAAACTTAAATGACCTTCCCTGGTTGGGAAGGTAGGATTTTCTGGTAGGCTGGCATATTGGCACAGTGAGTTACCAAAAACAGTTAACACTGACCAGGACTTGAAAGGGAGAGTATAACTAGAAGGTCTGCAGTGGGAAATTTTGGACTCTGCCCTGTGGGCCTTTCCTCTAGCTTCTTTTAATCTGTATCCTTTCACTGCAATAAAACCATGGTGGAACCCCTTTCAGTGAGCTTTTTTCTACTAAACTGAACCAAAAGATATGTCTTGGGGAGCCCTGAATTGGGATTGGTGTCAGAAGGAAGAGATTTAATAGGCTGCTGTGCTCCCCGTAACTTCAAAGGAAGTGGGAGAACCTGTAAGTAGCACAGGCAGTGGATTTTAAGAGGCAGTCTAAAATGTCCAGTTTTAGGTTTTCCTTATCATACTTTTTTCCTTTGTGAGATTCTTTAGTTTCAGAAAAGTTCGATACAGTTCAATAACACTTTGCTATTATTATATCTCACTGGGAAAAAGGAACAATGGAAGACCACATAGATATTTTGGAAGTAGAAAAAGTAGTTAGCTAGTCTTTTCTATACCTATAATTTAATATTGTTCAAACCCCCCAAAAGGTGACTGGTAAGGATACTGTTCAAAATTCACATTCTAGTTTTCAGGATCCCTGAGCAGCATCTAAAGAACACTCTAAGGTACATAGATCTAAAGCTTAGATCCCTTAGCCAGAGCAAATGTCTTTAGTGTTTTTATAGGGTTATGCCTCTTACTAAAAAAAAAAAAAAAAAAAAAATCAGTAGTGACTTGTGACTCTGGTAAATTCTGGAACATCGATACAAGGATTTGGACAGCTTACTGTGTTAAAACTGTACAAGTGTATTGACAAGCTATACCATGCTTTCCAATTTATGTATGTATATATGTATGGGTCTTGCCACATTACCCAGTCTGCCCTTGAATTCCGGGGCTTAAGTAATCCTCTCACTTCAGCTGTTCCAAGTAGCTGGGACCATGGGCAGGCTCCAGTACGCCCAGCTTCCCTGGTTAAGACATGGTGGAAGACTTGGTAAGGGAATGCCAACTGAATGTTCCTTCAGAGTATGAAGAAGGAAGGAAAGATAAAATTTAAGTAGAATGTTGCTAAGATAACACACTTACCTATTCTTAAGGTTAAATTACTCAAGTTTACTACCTTATATCAACATCTTCTTAACATTATTAACAACATTATTAACAATATAATAACATTATATTAACAATATCTGCTTTCCTGTCCCTTAGGCAGCAGAATATAAGTAATAAAAACAGTATTGTCATATTTTAATGATAATTCTGCTTGATGAGTAGGCCAAACTGAAAAAAGTTAAAACACCATGCATGCAGTGCATTTTACTTCCTATACAATATTCACTGAATTGGACAGGCAGGCTTTAAGTGAACATACAGATTTAAAACTGAGGTGTGGTACTTACTAGTTGAGTGACTATAGGCAAGTTACTTAGTCCATTCAACAATTATTAATTAAATGCAAGATACAGAAAGATGCAGGACACCCAAGATCTTTTAAACTTTTAAAGTTTATTCTATTGAGGGGGAAAATAACAACAACAACAGAATACAGTGTTCAATATAATGAAAACATTGGGTCCACTTTTTTTTTTTGCGGGGGTTGGGTGGGGGTACTGAGTTCAGTACTAGGGACTAAACTCGGGGACACTCTACCACTCAACCACATCAGCAGCCCTATTTTGCATTTTATTTAGAAACAGGGTCTCACTGAGTTGCTTAGCGCCTCACCACTGCTGACAGGGCTGGCTTTGAATTTGCGCTCCCTTTGCCTCAGCCTACCAAGCCACTAGGATTACGGGCAGATTACAGGCGTGATCAGTTTTTTAATAATTATCTCAGGATGGTTCTAATGAAGTGCCAAGGTACATACAAAACAGATATAATGTACTAGTGTCTAATATAGAGGATTTTTCAAGACCATAGCCATTTATCAGTGCTTATTTGCAACAAAAGCATACTTTTTAATGTAGCACTCTTCATTTACCTCCCAACATTTTTTTTTCCCCATAACTTACACACTTTGAATTCAATCCAACATTTTTTATTGCTTCTCCAATAGGTGACTAGCCTGACCCAAGATAGGCCAGATCAGAGACAAATCAGTCTTTCTTTTTTTTTTTTGTGTGGGGTGTGTGTGTGTGTCTCCAGTACTAGCGATCAAACTCA